TTTTTCTTGTTTCCCTAGCTTTCTTAATTACTTGGCTTTTGTCTAGGGGGCTTCTTTCAATACCTTTTATTAAATCTCTTTTCCTATGCAAGTTTGTTTTATGGCTGGCCTGATGTTCCCTTTGGGCTTTTCCTGCTTGGGTGTCACCACTGTCCTCATGAAGTTCCCTTTCCACAGCTTGTCAAAAATATGTGAAAAATTATCTTCAGCGGCAAATGTATGCATTAAAGGGAAAAAATAAAACAAATTAGATGGATGTGACATGCAAAATTAATAATGCAGTAGAGAAAGTAAAAAATCTCTTTTGAGTAGCCATGCTATACCTGAAGAAAAAGTAAAGTTCCTTCCACTCCCACATGATACTAGTAACTAGATTAACAGTTAATCATTCCTATAAAGCAGGGATCCCCAACCTTTTCGACGCCGCGGCCTGGTTCTGGCGTCAGCTGGGCGCCGCAGCCCGGTTCCGGCGTCAGCTGGGTGCTGCCATCTTTTTTTGACGAAAAATCACTTCCGGTGACGTCACCGGAAGTGATTTTTCGTCAAAAAAAATGGCGGCGCCAGCGCTTCGGGTGAGCTTTTTCGGGTAGAAATGGCTTTCTACCCGGAAAAGCTCACCCGAAGCGCTGGCGCCGCCATCTTTTTTGACGAAAAATTGCTTTTTTTACCAAAAAAAGATGGCGGCGCCCAGCAACCAGCGGCCCGGTAAGGCTTGTTCCGCGGCCCGGTACCGGTCCGCGGACCGGCGGTTGGGGACCCCTGCTATAAAGAGTGAACTATATTCTGTTCTTCATTAATGAACAAAGAACATCAGAGTGTGAACTTTTCAAAGGGTTATTTGTATTTGTGCAAAGTGAATTTATTGGTACATTTAGTTCTGCTCCTCAACAATATAAAAAAAAGGGTTTTAATCAGTTCATATTTTGATACATTGTCTGCCACAGTTTTACAATAGTGGTGCTTTGGGACTGAATGAGACAGCTGCTGCACTAGAATAATTGATTTATCCCACAAGTTCTGAATGAGTTGTCTCAGTCCAAGGCACAATTTGCAGGAAGCATCGCTTGGCATATTAATGTGCTGGATGATGTCCAGGGACTTGTCACTAAGAAGAGGGTTCTTCAACAGATGAGCCTTTATTGAACACTTGCATAACTCTGGCATTTGTATTCATTTGGCTGAAAACAACTTGCTCTAATAATATAGTATCTGAGAAAATAATAAGAACTTGCTTTGGTGGATTTGTTGAAATTTGTGAGGTTTGCTTGTTAGCCATTTCCTGGCAGTAAGTCACTGAATATCAATTTAATGAATGTGCTATTAAAAATAGAATGATACACTTTTAAAAATTGTTATTTTTACAATCTAATAATTAAACAATTAAGACATAATTGAAGAAGGTATTTGGTTTGTTTACTTAAATGTAGGAGGACTGGCAAAGCCAGGAAGAGGAGTAAAAAGAGGAATCAGTTTAGAGTTGTTATGTGGTCCCCAATTGGTAAGTCTGACCCCCCCTCCCCACTTTTGCCATCAACACTTATTTAATTCTAACCAAATCCTGATCATTAACTGAGAAGATTCCTATGTATAGGATTTAGCAAAAAAACAACAACACCCCAGCATGGACATGGTTTTCACACTGAAATTAAATTTGTTTGATTTCTAAATTGTATAATTTAGAATTGTGCTGAATATTCTGTAGGGTAGATGTTGACAAGAATAATTTCAGTAGGGTAGAATTCCCCCATTCCAGAAAGTTGATTACAATATTTATTTATTTTTAGTTTTAATTTTTACAATATTGTTTTATGTCCTTGTTTTCCTAGTTTTGCTGTAACTGGTTTCCACAGAAACAAAGATGACCATCGCTAGATGCAAGCAGAGTTTGCAACGTTTTGGATTTTTTAAAAAAAGCTTCTGAAAGTAGGGATGGTATATAGACCTAGCACCTGCTGCAATCTCTTAAAACCAAAAACACATTTTCCTGTAATTGTGGAAAAACATTTTTATAATATAGTACTCTCCTTGCAGAGGACAAAGTACAATATAATCAACTTAAACCAAAGAATGAGTTTTTTCTCTATGTAATTTAGATCCTCGAGATTTATAATATATAGCTGGGATTATGATTGAAGCCTGTATAATAATAATTAAAAAGATAGGTAGTATACCTTTCAAAGTAAAGGTAGTTTGCTCCATGTATGATGTCCCTCTTCTGTACTACTACAACCTGTGAGTTATATACATCACTAGTTTGTCCCTTACATTTATTCAAGATTTTAAAAGTTTTAACATTCCAATCATTCAATGAGATTTCTCTGTCTTTAGTTTTTAGGCCTGATAGTATTTTGGTTTTCCTTGGCCAAACTGTCTTATGTAGTTTCTTAAGAATTTTTGAATTATATTTATATGAATATGTAAGTTTATATATATGAGAATTACAAGCATAATAAAACTGAATAAACTAAGTACAAATGTTCAGATAATGACTTCTACATATCTGAATTCTTGTATCATTTTAAATTACAGATCATTGCTAAAATCACATTTATATGCAGTATCATATTTATCAATAAAAAGTCTGTGTATAGGTAATCTGCTCATAAGTAGCAAGAGTAATCAGGTCTATATATATATATATGAGCTGCGATGGCGCAGTGGTTAGAGTGCAGTACTGCAGGCTACTTCGGCTGACTGCTATTTGGCAGATCGAATCTCGCCAGGTTGAAGGTTGACTCAGCCTTCCATCCTTCTGAGGTGGGTAAAATGAGGACCCAGATTGTTGGGGGCAATAGGCTGACTCTGTAAACTGCTTAGAGAGGGCTGTAAAACACTGTGAAGTAGTATATAAGTCTAAGTGCTATTGCTATAAGGGCATGGAGAATCCATTTATGTTGTTCAATGGTCAAATTCCAGATACTAGGTATATAATTCAAGAAATATTATTCTCTGAAAGTTTTAGCTTTTATTGCACAATCACACTTATATATAGTCCACTACTTTCTCCCAAAATGGACTTACTATGAGACATTGTAATAACATGTTTTAAAGAAACATTGTTCTTATTACATCTCCAACATAACTCTGAGTTACAGGCTAATACATGGTACCTGTTTCAGACACATTGGTAGAAATAGTAATTAAAGAAAAAAAAAATAGCTACATACAGAAGATCATGAAGAACTCCTGCCTTGAACAGGGGGTTGGACTAGAAAGACCTCCAAGATCCCTTCCAGCGCTATTATTCTATGATTCTATGTCTTGTTTAAAAAAACCAGGAAGGATACCATCAAAGTAAACCTTGCTATTATCAAACAGCTAACTTTTTTGAGTGTCAATGAGCATATGAATGGAGGTGATACTTGATAACAATATTTTAATGTTTGGATTTTTAAAATCTGTTGATGAGGTTGGATTCTTCTTCAAATAGATAGGAAAAATATATTGGAGTAATAGCAAATAACTTAACGAAGATGTTAATTTGATGCATGGCAGTTTTGACAAAGGCAAATTTGATCAATCAGTGGGAAAGGAACTAAAATTATCAATATAATAATGTCTATTAAACAAATTACATGTATCTGCAGTATTGCATATAGCTCGGCTCTCCACATTTGAAACAAAATATAATATAGCAGGAAAAATATATAAAAAAGGCAATTAAAATAATTAAGGGGCTCAAATAGTTCAATTTAAATGAGAAAAAAGGCAAGTTATGTAAAATCATGCATAGGTTTTGCTTCATCTTATGAACTAATGCATTTATTATTGCCTAATCTTTAATGGCCTATACTCTATTTTATCAGACACATTCAATTTTGTCCATAGTACAATTATCTTCTCCAATGGTCAACATTCTCTTGATTAAGTTAGATTAGATTACAATGAGACCAAAGGGAAGTAAGCTAAATGGGAAGTAAGGTCTCCCAACACTTGTCCCTTAGAATGATGTTTACCAGAGATTTATGAGACCTCTACCTGACCTTATTTAAGCCCCTAAAATCTGGTCCCTCTTGCCTGATTGATATAGCCCTAGTGGGAGTTGTTAGCATGGTTTCTTGGACATGTTTTGTATTCTTCTATTTTTGTTTCACGTTGTATTCCATGCAGAGTTGGGATGGAGGTTGGTAGGCCTATACATTTATTAAATCAGGTGGAAGAAGCACAGACAGCAGTAATTAGCTTTATTAACAGTTGCCATGTTGATTGGATATTAAAATTGGATTTTTTTCTGAACAGATTGATTAAAATGGATCTCTGCTCATTTACCCAGCCAAAAATTCTATTAGTATGGATTAGTTATCATGTAATTCACTGAACAAACTGGTACTTTCCAGATATGTTAAATTACAGCTTTCATTCACAACATGGGAGCTATAATCCAAACAAATCTGGTGGCGATGCATACATATTAAGGCCTGAGTACCATTTCTTTTAGAAACAGAATATGGCAACAAACTACAGTGCCCTCACTGCTTAGGTTGCACAAAAAAAATCCAAGTAACTTTGACATGCTTCGTTTTAGAAATCAGGCCTAATCTACACAATCCATTACATTCTGATGTGCACTCC